TATATATATATATATATATATATATATATATATACACACATATATTAGTGCTGGAACTAATAGCATTAGCTCTGAAGCTAATAGTATTTTATATCGCTTTATAATTTATGTTTTTGTTTAATTTTTTTAATATAATTGTCTTTCATTTATTTTTCAATTTATATGCTTTTTATGATTGTCTACTGTTGTTGTTATCTGTGTTGTTTAAAACAGGTCTCGTAAACGAGTCCTCGAGGCTCATTGAGACTAACCTGTATAAATAAAAGTTGAATTAAAAAAAAAAAACCTAACATCATATACAGTGGGGGAAATAACGTATGTATTTGATATACTGTTGATATTGCAAGTTTTCTTACAAAGACTGGAAAGGTCTAATTTTTATCGTAGGTACACTTCAACTGTGAGCGACAGAATCTAAGGAAATAAATCAGAAAATCACATATGGTTTTTAAATATTTGCATTTTATTGCATAAAATAAATATTTGATACAATAGAAGAACTCAACTCAATATTTGCTACAGAAACTTTTGTTTGCAGTCACAAAGGTCAGACGTTTAATGTAGTTCTTGACCAGGTTTGCACACTGCAGCAGGGATTTGGGCCCACTCCTCCATACAGATCTTCTCCAGATCTTTCAGGTTTCGGGGCTGTCACTGGGCAACACTGAGCTGATCAGCTCCCGCTAAAGATTTTCTGTTGGGTTCAGGTCTGGAGACTGGCTAGGCCACTCCTGGACCTTGAAATGCTTCTCATGAAGCCCCGTCTTAGTTGCCCTGGTTGTGTTTGGAGTCGTTGTGCTGGAGGACCCAGCCATGGCTCATCTTAAATCTCTTACAGAGGGAAGGAGGTTGTTGAGTAAAATCTCTCGATGTATGACCCCATCCATTCTCCCTTCAATGCGGTGCAGTCGTCTTGTCCTCCTAGAGAAGCACCCCCAAAGTATGAGGTGTCCACCCCCATACTTCACGGTTGGGACAATGTTCTTGGGGTTGTACTCATCCTTCTTCCTCCAAACACAGTGAGTAGAGTTGATGCCAAAAAGCTCTATTTTGGTCTCATCTAACACATGACCTTCTCCCATGCCTCCCCTGGATCATCCAGATGTTCACTGGTGAACTTCAGCCGGGCCTGGGCATGTGTGGCGTGAGCACGGGGACCTTGTGTGCCCGGCAGGATCTTAAACCATGACAGCGTTACTAATGGTCCTCTTTGAGACTGTGGTCCCAGCTCTCTTCAGGTCGTTGACCAGGTCCTCCCGTGTAGTTCTGGACGGATTCTTAACTTTTCTCAGAGTCATCCTTACCCCACGAGGTGAGATCTTTCATGGAGCCTCAGACGGAGGAACATTGGCGTCTTCTTGTGTTTCAAGTGTCTTCTCACCAAGCTGCTTGCCTGTTGTCCTGTAGCTCATCCCGTCCTTGTGCAGGTCTATAATTCAGTCCCTGGTGTCCTTAGACAGCTCTTTGGTCTTGGCCACGGTGGAGAGGTTGGAGTGTGATCGACTGAGTGGACAGGTGTTGTTTGTACAGGTAACGAGTTCAAATGGGTGCAGTTAATCCAGCTAGTGCAGAGGAGGAGAGCTTCTTAACGATAAAACT